AACCAGCGGCCACCTCAACCTGCAGCTCACTGTATTGAGCAGGAGGAGTTCTGGGGCATTCTACACAAAGCCGACCCAGTGCAAGCAGCTCATCAGGACAACCGCCAGCAACATCAGCAAACCGTGAAGCTGAATGGCAGAGTGGTAAATGGGCTGAGAGACACAGGAGCCACGATGACACTGCTCCAAAAGAACTCGGTCTCGGAGCATCAGCACACTGGGGACACTGTGGCGGTGAGGGTAGCAGGGGGTGCCGTGTTCCGTTTACCTGTTTACAAAAGATACTATTGTGCAAAAAGATACGGGCAGGTAGCCCACAGTAAAGCCAGATCCTGTTTGACCCTCAATGCGGAGCTTCTGTCTCGTTATTGGGGGGATTTATTATTTGCGTTTAGAGACTGCTGGATGGAAACGAAAGCCGCTTGGTGGATGTTATTGTTCGGCGGCTAGCAGCAGTTTGTGTATTGCCGTTCGGGAGTTTGGAGCTGTTCACGGATCCCCGTTGGGAGATTGCCGCTTCCCCTGCATTTGGTTCGTGCACTACAGGTTAGGCGAATGGAGTTACTGATATTGCAGATGGGGAAGGTCTACTAAACGGCGGTTTTGCCTAAAGACACTGGAGGTGTCTTAACAATTGGTGGCGAGCGACGGGATGAATCCCACAGCACTGGAGGTCAGCTACAAGACATGCAGTACGAGGAATTAAGACGTGCTACACTTAAGGATATATTGGAACGCTGAGGAAGGTCAGCAAGCAATTTATAAAAGAGAGAAATAATTGCTTTACTACTGGAGATGGATGCAGCACCGGGAATGGAGAGAGCTAATGTACCCAGTACTTTGGAGTTAACACCCGAGGAATTACAATTTAAACGGGCAGTGCAAATAAGGCTGGCACATTTTGGCCCCAACCCCTCAGCTGACATCGTGGAGCGTGTGCAGGCAGCAGTAACAGCACACCAGGTGCTCCGGGAAAGAGGAGCTACAGCAGCAGAGGTACCCAATAATAATTTTGCTAGAAAGAAGGTACCCTTTGCTGCATTTAAAAATTTTGTGGAAACAGAGGGAGAGATTGATGGGTTCCTGGCGGACTTCGAGAGGCAGTGTGCCCTACACCAGGTACCCGCAGATGAATGGGTCACCATCCTCTCTGGGAAATTATCCAGCCGGGCTAGTGAAGCGTTTCGGGCCATCCCAGAGGAGGAGATCACCAGCTACCGGGCTGTGAAGGATGCACTCCTAGCCAGGTATGCGGTGACCCCAGAAGGTTACAGACGGCGATTTAGAGAAACCAACAAGCAGGTTGGTGACTCTTATGTGGAGTGGGCCTGCAGAGTTCATCGTACCGCAGCCCACTGGATGGCAGGATGCCAAGCCGTAACTGGTGAGGAAGTGCTACAAGTGTTCTTGCTGGAGCACTGCTTTGATAGACTACCTGCTGGGGTCCGGGAGTGGGTCAGAGATAGAAAACCCTACCCGAGGCTGCTCGTCTGGCAGACGAATACACGGACCCCGCAAGTTGGATAGTACAGCTGCCAAAGTCCCTGCCAGACTGGAGTATCGACCAGCAGAACTCGGTCTCGGAGCATCAGCACACTGGGGACACTGTGGCGGTGAGGGTAGCAGGGGGTGCCGTGTTCCGTTTACCTGTTTACAAAAGATACTATTGTGCAAAAAGATGCAAAAATAGTGAGATATGGAGCGCTGTAACAATAAAGTAAACACTTACTCCTGTAATTATCAGGAGATATAGATGGTGAGGAAGTCCTTGTATATCCTTATTAGGTAGGAAACCTCAAAAATGGAAACAAAAACAAGAGAAACAGGGAAGCAAAGCTACCCCTGGTGTAGAAATCCTTGATATAGTAGGTGATCAAATATAAATAACGATTTGCTTCTCACCTTCTCAAGAGCCAGTAACCAGGCTCCAAGTATGTAGGTGTAGTGTCAAATATAGAGTGACACAGCCCTTCTTTGTAGCAGCATGAAGATATCACTAATCAACTTGAATTAAAAATAACATTTATTGTAAATATATCATAAAAACAATAAAATCAATATACTCAAGTGATAGTGCTGGTCCGTTTACCTGTTGCCCGGGTACATTTGGATTGGGGAGTGGGCACTAGACACGTGGATGTGGGGGTTATGAAAGACTTGCCCGCTGATGTCCTTCTTGGTAATGATTTGGCCCCGTTGGTTTCAGCCTATGCCCAGATGGGCCCTGCGGACGTTAACCCAGTGACTACTCGTGCCCAGACCCGTGCTGCTGGAACCGGCCCACCTGCAGATGAGACCCAGGTAAAACCCTCTTCCCCGACTGGTACCTTAGATCAGGCCCCCTTAAGCTGGGATTCCCCAGAGGAGTTTGGGAGCGAAACCCGGGCAGACCCGACTCTCCAGAAATACCGAGATAGGACCACCCACAGGGTTTTACACAACAGCCAATAATAAACGTACATTACAGAAACACTCCCAGCAATTACACACAAAAATCCTCTGTGGCAAACCTAGCCACTTGGGACTGCCTAAGATAGAATGGTTGTGCCTATTTTCTGTTGTGTACTGCGCGCCGGTATAGTGTGGCGTCTCCGGCTATGTTTAATTTATGCTGTACTGTGTATGTCTGTTCGAATCCTCCCCATTCGTTAGCATTGCTATTAAAACTGACTAAGTTGTATATTTTGAAGTAGAAAGGTAACGGTTTATGTCCTCGTAGTTTTCATTACTGTATGTTACAGCAGGGGCTGTTGGGAGGAGGACCTGGAAACGGTAGTCTCCCTCCAGTCCCCTCAACCAAAACCCCTGCTGCCCATCTTTGGAAACCCCTGTTGAGTGACCTGCTTTAAATATCAGTTATTTTTAATAAAGTGACAGTTGAGTGACCTGCTTTAAATATCAGTCTTTTTGAATAAAGTGGCAGTTGACTCTCAGACTGTGTTTCGTCTGGTTCTTGGGAGGATTTGGGAATATTGCCTGCTTCCAGCTTTGTACTTGGTTATTGCATTCTACCAGCAGAGATCCTGGGATTATAAAATTGCAGCTCCGCAACATCCTCCCCTCTGCCTGTGATCTAATTATGTTGCACAATGGGTTAACATAATTAAACACAGGCAGTAAAAATACAGTTTTTACCCATACCCTGTAACTTTAAAACCATACATCCAATCTTCATACAAATTACATATTTAGAATCAATCCTTTCAGGGGAGCAACATATTAAAAAATGGCACAAATCAGACAAGGGGTTCAAAAGTTAGCAAAAGTATCTTTTGGGGCCTGGCTGGCAGCATGGTTATCTGGCCCAAACCGGTTTTACAGAGCCCTCTAACCTGGAGACAATGGGGAAAATAATCCACTTATATCCAGGGATAGAGGCAGACTCCATTAACCACATGTTAGCAAAAGACACAAAAAGACTCAAAAATACATAACTCCTATCGAACTGAACAGATGGCTTGGATCTGAGCGCTCAATATATCCAAACAGCGCTCAGATCCCACAAATACAGTCAAATCGCCATACACACTAGGTCCATAGTCATGGGGCAGAAGGCTGGCAATTAGGCTTCTCCATAACACAGGGAAGCAGGGCAGTTTGTCAAATAAAATAACAGTTACAAATGGCAGTCTGTAACAGTGTGTTCCCCTTTTGTAATTCTCTCCCTTTCCTTAATTTTGACATTAAATCATGCAAAGTACCTTTTAACCACACGGGGGTCATATTCCGGCTCCCGGCATCACTCTGCGGCACATGAGGGAGCTGAGCAGAGAGCTCACTAAACAGTGCTCCCTCGCCAGCGCCGCTCGCCCATCAGCCCCACTGGACCCCACGGAAAGCCCCATCCACCCCCATCCACTTTTTTAAAAAAGTGAGTGTGTTAATACACTCACAGCTTAAAGGAGTGAAACCGCCATTTAGTTGATCTTCCCCTGTAGAGACACAGGTGCTGTTGCTGTAGAGCGCCAAACTCCCGAACGGAGTATAAGGGAATGCTTCAAACTCCCGAACAAAGAATCAGCCGAACTCCTTCTCTCCTAGAACAGGCTAAATAATACTTCCAAGTAGCAATACCCCCAAACACGAGACCAAGCTCCGTCTTGAGGGTAAAACAGGAATCTGCTTTAATGAGGTATTTATGCAGGTCTCCCACCTGGTGGACACTCCCCTAGGGGACCAGATGGAAGACTGGGACACATAATGTACAGTAGCCAATCACAGTGGCTCAGGTATAAACACTCCCCTTTGCACAAGTAAATCCCTACTCTCTATCCTGAAGATAATTGGGAAGAAATCCAATTATCTCCAGGGATAGAGGCAAACCGCCATTTTACATGGTATAATAAAAACACATAAAAATCCATGACTGTAAAATTACCGAATGCATTTAATTCGTGTAATGTATCCCCCGATAGCCTGGATCTGAGCACACATTGTAGTAGATTATTTTATGCAAACCAATTAGTTTGAATGACTATCTGTTCCTGTCCAAATTAAAGATAATAAAGTTGCGTGCACGCAGAAGTAAATTCACACTGAGACACAGAGTTCAGGTTAATGAAAGAACTTCGGAGAAGTTTAATGGCTTCTGTTTAAAAAGCAGGCTCGCAGGCCCTTTTAAAGGCATTATTACATCATTGAAGAAAATCAAGATATAGACAAATAGACATTGTTAATTGGCTTAGGTGCTAAGTAGTTAGTAAAATGCCCTCCCTACGGGGTGTACCATCTTAGGTCACTATCCTCGTCATGATTGTCTCCTCCAGGTTTTAGCACCATTTTGTTAACATGAGGAGCTCACTCGACGGGAGGGGCCTTTTGGCAGCTATCCATTTAGAGTGTAGCCTGGCACTGTTAGTTTCTCAAGGTTAGGTTTCAAGGCTTTTAGTAAATACACATTTTATCAAAGCTATCATTGTAAGTGGGATGCTACAGTGTTTCACACTACAGGTGCATAATATTTCTTGCTGACATGCAAATTCTATATTCTATAGACAAAGCTTTCTTGTAAAACTATGGGGCCTCTTAGAGGTATAGCAAGAGGATTTAAAGGGGCCTTACAGATTTATAGAGGCCTAATAATTCTACAACAACATTATTACTGAATAGCGCTCAGACCCAATGCACACAGTTCAATCGCCATGGAGTCAAAGTCTTTCACATTGTTCTTTCGGTATACGATTGACTCCATGGGACGGCTATCTGGGTTAAGTCCATTCGTATACTAAAAGTCCCGAACGGACCGGCGTTCACATGCCCGATGACAAGAAGGGTGGTCGGCAGTTTCAGCAGTGTTCGGTAGAAAAAGTGTCCGTTTGGAGTTCTATAAGTTCCTTGCTGAACACCGCTGTTCATTCGCATGTTTAAAATGGCGCCACCTCGTGGGCGGCATACGAACGATGACCACCCTCCATACGGTTCGCATGAAGAGGTGACTGTGGTTAACCACAACTTTCTAATTGAGGCCAATAGGTTAACCAGCAGCACACTTCTCTTCTGGGTGGCCGTCCATTCGGTAGTTTTATTCTGTATAACTGGAAATAAACAAACAGGGACATACGGGCAGGTAATTCCATGAATGTATACAAAATAGACGAACCAGCAAATAGTACTTAGACAAATGGATCTGTCACAGAGTGTGTGTTAGTGAGTGAGTGTGTCTGTTAGTGTGTGTGTGTCTGCCAGTGTGTGTCTGTTAGTAAGTGAGTGTGTGTGTGTCTGTTAGTGAGTGAGTGTCTGTTAGTGAGTGTGTGTATGTCAGGGAGTGTGTCTGTTAGGGAGTGTGTTACTATGTGTGTGTCTGTTAGTGAGAGTGTATGTGTGTCTGTTAGTGAATGTGTGTGTCTGTTAGCTAGTGTGATGTTTTGTACAAATCAGCCAAAGTACTCACTTTATTGATACATATATAACAGGATCTTCATATTGCAGCCTTGTTACCCAGGGTTTCTGCAGTCGCCATTTCAAATCCCTGGAACATTCCACCAACTGCCAACAGGAACAGGAAGTAAAGAACCAAAAGAAAGGAAGTGCATCATTCACAGCCAACAACAGCCCAACTGCCCAATGCCCATACATCACAATATATACACTCACACACTCATACACAGCCCAACCGCCCATACATCACATCACATCTCCTTCCTTTCTCAACAAAAGAAAGAAAACAAAATAGTAAATGTGACGAGAGCAATCTCGCCACATTGCATTGGAGAAGCCTGGTTGCTCGCCTGCTGCCTTTGGACTATGGCCCCATGTTAAAAGACATCTTTTTCCCTGCAGAAAAGACTTATTCGTGATTTTCTGCCCGGTGTTCGGTAGATTCAATCTACTGAACAACCGCACGAATGACTAGACCACCTGGGAGCTGGAGTGTGCCGGCAATTAACCTCCCTGAAGCTGCGGTTAACCGCAGCTTAATTGATGAATGCTAGCCCGAGCTATATGGGGACATGTTAAATGTATAGTTTTATCGTAATGTGTCTCACATAGTGTATTTTAATAGTAATTCATGTTGTAGTATCCCCACGTGCATAATGGCGATTTGCCTTTGTCTTGGGAGATAATTGAATTACTTCTCAATTATCTCCAAGGCCAGGATGGAAGGAAGCCAGGATGCATTGTGGGAATAAAATGTGACTGTGTGTCCTGTTTGGCTGATTGTCTGTCTTTTGTCACAGTCTCCCATTTGGTCCCCTAGGGTGGGAGACACCAGGTGGGAGACCTGCATAAATACTGGGCAGGTAGCCCTCATTAAACCAGACCACTGCTTGACCCTCAACACGGAGCCTTGTCTTGTCTTTGGGGGGATTTACTGAATGCTGATAGAGACTGAGTGCTAGGAGTGTAACCCGCTTGGATGCTTTTCCTATTCATCTGCTAGCAGCGATTCATATGGTTCCAGTTCGTGTGTTTGGAGTGCTATATTGTATGCCGTTCGGGAGTTTGGAGCATTCCCTTATTGGCGGTTCGTGAATTTGGTGTTCTACAGTAGCTGTGCCTGCATCTCTGGAAAGGGGGACAATCACCTAAACGGTTTTTACCCCTTGTGTGCAAAACGGTCCGTTACAATTGGTGGCAAGCGGTGGGATCATTCCTACAGCCAGAAGGACAGCTACAGGAGACACCATTTCTTTGGATTTTACAATTTGAGGACAACGCATGACCCAGTACAGCGACCCTGACAGCACCAGGATGGAACGAGCAGTGGAGTACGATGAGGGTGTCATGGATGACCGAGATGCAGTTCGCAAAGGCATCTGGCACCAGGCACTGGGTATTGTGGAGTACCAGCGGGGCGAGAGACTCCCCAAGGAAGACCAGTGATTGCAGAAGCGACTAGCCCTGCGGATGCCCTTTGTAGCGTATGGCACTGGGCTAGAGAATTACATGTGTTTAAATGCATTCGTGTAAAACAGCAAAGTTCTATGTGTTAAATGTATTGTATTCGTCTGAATGTTAGGTAGTTTCATTCCCTTAGTTTGTTCGAATGAAACTACCGAACAGTCAGACCTCCCATGTGTGAAGTGTGACTTCAATTACCCGTTGCAACATTGTTGCGAACGGGTAATTGACAAGCTGAGTAGCCGTCCTTTGTTCTCATGGGTGGCCGCCATTCGGGAAACGAACACGTGGCGGCGGCCATTTTAAAACTCCCGAACAGCGGTGTTTTGCCGTCGAGTGTCTGGAACTCAAATTGGTCACTCGACTAGGCGTACACCGCTGAGACTTCCACAAGCCCGGTCCGTTCGGTTCCAAACTACCGAACGGCCCCTCGTTTGGTAGATAGAAATAACCGAACGAGGGGATTCAGGCGAACCCTCACTAGTCTCTGTAGCTAGAGGCTTTCGTGCAGTTTATTCCCTGACTCCATTACCGACCGCAGGGCCCCATCGCATGGAACCCCATTCGGCTGTTCTCTCCAGTGCGGTCGGTCATTTTATTCCCTCCATAAATTTCCCAAACCCCTGGTCTGATCTGGGTGATTTTTGGATATGTTGTTCACCCAGATCAGGATTACCAGGGGATGTATAATTTAACCCCTTAAGGACACATGACTTGTGTGACATGTCATGATTCCCTTTTATTCCAGAAGCTTGGTCCTTAAGGGGTTAAAGTGGTGCCCTTAAGTTTAGGGGTACATCCAGAAATGGGGGGAATTGGTGTGCCGGATAAGGGGATTATGATGCAGGCTGAGGGGAGGAGATGTGTGGGAGGTTACCAGAGCAGGATTGGCTACTGTACAAATTAATGGAAATCCCTCCCTTGCATGGGAGCAGGCTTTAAAAGGCCACTGTGTGAATAAATCTTTAGTTCTGCTCCTGATACTGTGTGTCGTCCAGTTATTGGGATTGCTGCTGGGATACTGCTGTGTTATTTTGCCTGCTGGATATTTTACCCTATGGATTTATAATTGCTTGTTCCTGAACCTCCCTGGGATCTAAAGTGGAGATAGGCTGTGTAATACCAGCTCTCCGCTACACCCTTCCTGGGAGAGCAGCCCCTGGATGAATGGGTGAAGGAATTGGAGCTCCGGGTATGGCAGGAGATGTGGCTGGAAGATGCCTACCAGGCGCTCTGGTGGTATGGGGCACAGTACCTGTCCTGGACAGCCGAGCATGACAAGCCAGAGGGAGAGGAGTTTGATGGTCCTGGCTTGTTATGGGAGGCTTTTTCAGAGCCTGAGTTTGGGAGCCCTACACAAGCCCGGTTCAGTGATCTCTTGGAGTGGAGGGAGAGCAGGTATGACTGGGACGACACTCAAGACCTGGTCCACCTAGTGACCCGAGAGATGGAGCTGGAGCAGGGCTACCAAGATCTGTTCCACTCCAGTGAGAAGGCTCAGCAGGGAAGCAGAGACCCAGATCCAGACCCATTCAGCTGGGTAGATATTGTAGAGTATTACTGGGAAGAACCCCAGGTGGCTGGTGGAGATGGGACCGAGGTCTCTCCACCGGTCCTGCAGGGAATTGGGAGCCCAGTCTCCATTCCCCAGTGGGAGATATTGCAGGGAATTGGGAGCCCAAGCTCCATTCCCCAGCGTCAGGCTGAGTTACAGGGGACAGAGATAGTTGCTTCTGTCCCCCAGCAGCAGAGTGAATTGCAGGGAATTGGGAGCCCAAGCTCCATTCCCCAGCGGCAGGCTGAGTTACAGGGATAGTTGGTCCTGTGATAGTTGGTCCTGTCCCGCAGCGGCAGTGTACCTTGCAGGGAGAGGAGAGCAGCGGTGAGCTACAGGGATACTGGGCAGTTGGCTCAGATTCCCAGCGGCAGTGTGAATTACAGGGAATTGGGAGCCCAGTCTCCATTCCCCAGCGGCAGTATGAGTCATTGGGAATTGGGAGCCCAGTCTCCATTCCCCAGCGGGAGATACAGCAAGGAATTGGGTGCCCAGTCTCCATTCCCCAGCGGCAGAGTATCCTACAGGGAATAGAGAGCCCAGTCTCCTTTCCCCAGCAGCAGGACTCTGGAAGTATATATGGGAGAGGAGCTTGTTACCCCCTCTCCCCAGTGGCAGCTTAACGTACCAGGTGGGGACAGTAGACCCCACAACCGTGCAGATGGAACCATGGTCTCTGCACTTACAGCACATGGGGTAGGGACAGTCGGTTCTGCCCCCCAGCAACAGGGCTGTTTAGCCAAAGGGGAGACAGTCGGTCTCTCCCTCCAGCAACCGAGGGGTGTAACCAAAGAGGAGAAAGTCGGTCTCCCCCTCCAACAACCAGGCTTCAACCAGGCTACTCCCGTGGTAGCGCTGGCACCAGGGCAGAGTTCCGCTGGTCTCTGCCCACTCAGCAACCCACCAAGTCAGCTTACCAGTCACCCACACAGCCGTGGTGAGGCACCTGGACATGGACAAAGTTCTCCTCTACCTAGGTGTAGTAACCATTTATTGTGGGTGGGCTGTATTTCTATTTGTGTGTTGTGGGTGGGCTGCTGGACTAACAAGGGCACTGACCGGCTGGAGGTCAGATACCCTGTTAGTCTGTTTGGAAAAGGGGAGAGATGTGACGAGACCAATCTCGCCACATTGCATTGGAGAAGCCTGGTTGCTCGTCTGTTGCCTTTGGATTATGGCCCCATGTTAAAAGGCTTGATTTTTCCCTGCAAAGACATGAAAGCCGGGTCATTTGGTGCTTGCCCGGTTTGAGGGGTGATACCCCAGATAGCTATGCCATGGAGCCCATTCGTATAATGAAAGACTATGGGAAAGAC